CGGCTCCTAGGGAAACGACCAAGGTGGCAGGTTCACTTGACCCCACAAACTCCCCTTGCAATGCGCCCATTCTGGCGGTTAAAAAGCATGGGTCCTTCCTACCGCCTGGTTTGGGATCTGCAGACAACCCCTCCAAGAACACGCTGACCGGTTCCTCAGCCAGCCCCACCTGCCCAGGAGCATCCTGGCCAGCCTGGAGCTCAGGTGTTCAAGGTTGCAGACCAGACGTTCTGGCATCACCTGTCCCAGGTTAAACGGGCCCTAAACACAGACTGGGATGTCTCCTCTCCTCTGGGCCTTATTCAGCTATTCATTTCTCATCAGCCAAGCGCATTCACAACAACCTCCTTCAACCAGTTGCTGCTGCACCCCTACGCTGGGCTGCCCAGCCAAGACCCTCATGCCACCTAATACCTACTTCACCCCATGCTGCCCCCGGTCAGCAGGAAGTAGCCAGACCAGACTCGGGGCACTCTTTCCTATATGAGTAAACAGGTTGGCATGGAAGAAAGGTCTGGCAGGAACCAGAGTTACTAGGGCGAAAAGGCATCTGGTAAGAAGGCCACCTAAGGGCGAGAATGAAGACCTGCTGCTACCATCAGAAAACAACTCTTCCTCGTTACCTGCAAGCCCCGTTTCCCTCTCCCCATCCTATAAAAACCTGCCTTCCCTTGACAATAGGCGTGGCCTCACCAACCCCCACCTTAGGTCTGTGAACGTGACTTACTCTGTTGTTCTCGTCTTTCCCTGCTGAACCTTTCATTTATTCATGGTCTTGATTATGGGTGACAGGTGTCTGTTACTTTATGTTGTTATACTTCAGTAAAAAGGAACAACCAAAAACAAAAGCAAACCACCATGAGACAATAGTCTGGGGATGACAAAAATGATGGCAACAGGCAAAAAGGCAGCGCTGCAGATCTGTATTTTAGAACCCCCTATCTCAAGTTCGTTAGATAAAGTTTCAGGTCTTTTAAAGGCCAGTCTCATTCGAGTTATCCTCGAAGCAATCACATGTCTTAGAAATATATGTATTTGCAGCAATTTGCATATTGGTGTGACTGTTTTCACCCAATCTGCTACAAAATGGATGTTTCAGGAAGTGAGAGCGTGCTTGTTGAATGGATGATTCTAAAGGTTTATCACCTGGAGTGGGAGACTCTCCACTCAACTCTCAGCTGAGTTTCTGTGTTCTCTTGTTCTGATGACCTGGCAGCAAGAGCTTTCAGGCTGGGTGTTTGTGTCCTTCTGAATCTGAGCAACAGTACAAAGTAGTTGACAAGTTACCTTGGCTCTGTCATTGTCTTCTTGCCTCTTTATCTTCTAGAAACTCATCTTACCCTTAACTCATGGAAATAACTTTCACATGAACATCTTCTGCTTTCTGGGGGAACTTCATGACTGAAAAGTTAAAATTATGCATAACATTTGATTACTTTTATTATTATTACAAGATTTACATATGATGTATACATTGCCTATACTCATAATCCTCATAATCACTCTGAGAAATAAAATTGTTATGTCAATTAAATTTTGACAAAGAAGCTAAAGTTTAGAGAAAAAAAATTAGCAAGTAGTATCTATAAAGTCAGACTGCAAGAACTTCTACTTGATTGTGTAGTAACTTTTGAAAACCTTTGTGATCTAGCTCTAGGGGTAAAATTATACTGGTGAGCTATCAGATAATAGGAACATAATTTTGGATGAATAATATATCTTTTCACTTTGTGTCCTTGGATCTGGCACTATACAAGAGAAAAACTCTTGGCTGTGTATCTAGCAAATTCTGTCTGCCCCATGTCTACACCAGGAAAATATGACTAAGTCATGTGACTTTTCAAAGCCCCCTTTCCTTTATGTTTCCCATGTGAACAGTACTTACCGTCCCCAGTTGTCAAAAGTACTTACCGTCCCCAGTTGTCAAAAGATCTATGGTAAAAATAATAGCTGCTGCTAGATTTATGGCCAGCTCAGAATGGTGGATTCAACTTTCTTTGCTGACAAAAGAGTTAGGCGCACAGATGATTTGGAGAAAGGTTAAGAGTGAAATGTCCAACTATCCACAGGGGGCTGGAAGATCTTCCAGATGTCTGGATAAGAGAAGAGATGACCGCATTCCGACTAGGCAATTTTCCCACCGACTTTGCAGCAAGTGATGGGAGGATTACACATACTACTCTCAAAATTCCCTGAGCTTATTTCAGGGTAAAATGTTGTCACAAACCAGTACTTACTAGAATATGACATCCTTGTAAACAAGAACCATGTCTATTCTTTGTATCACTAAAATATTTATGGAGTGCCCATGTGCTCGGACCTGTTAAATGAATGAGTCAATGAAAAGTTATGCCTATCTACTTGGTAGATAGACCCTTTCCTTCCAGAACAAATCACAGAGATGATTGGAACAGAACATTATTTCTGGGATGGAAAATATGAATCGGGTTGGGCTTCTGTGACCGATGATGAGAATGAATGTCCAATACCCTTTTATAAAGAAACCACAAAATCTCAGTCAAAGTGAGGCAAACATTTGAAAAAAAAAAAAAAATTTTTGAAAGAAAGGACTTAAAAAAATAAAAAAATAAAGAAACAAAGGACTCTTTCCACACTGGCATTTTCCAAAGTCATCCTGAAGGAAGAAATCTTAGTACACGGAGGTTGTGATTTTGGATCTGATTTTAAAAGCACATGCTAGTCCTTCTCAAATGCAGGCTCACGCATCAGTGGCTCAACTTTCCAAGCGTCATCTGGAAAATGGGGATAATGGTAGTACCTAGCTCAGAGCACTTGTGTGAGGGCTGTGGGGCACGTGGCTCAGTTCACTGGGACGTAGTTAAAGCTCAGTTAGTGTCGAACCACTGCTCTTACAGCCATAGCTGGTTACTCATTCTGTATAAGAACACAGACAATGTGGGTTTGGAATCCACTGGAGACTAATACTGCAGCGCCACCTGGTGATCACTTTATCACAACAACAACAGTAACCTGCAACCTCCTAAGTATGAGAACCATCCTGGGAGAGAAGTCGGCTTCCTCTTTTTCTTAGGACTTAAGTGGAAAGACAGTTTCTTAATATATGAGCTACTTCTTCACTGCTGTTGAAATAGCACGCCTTTATAAAAAAATCCAGAAATGATAAAATCCCCTAAGATTACGTTAGTGCTATGTTACTTTTTGCTGGCTTTGAAAGGCATCTAGAACAGTTATCTTTTTTTTTTTTTTTCAAGTATTATTGAACATGAACTTTTTTGGGAACTAATGAGAGCTAACAAACTCAGTTCTTAGAGAAATAAATTATGAAACAGCAAAATATGCATAGCTATGAAGTCAAGAAATTATGGTTATTTTATATCCAAGGACATCAGTTTATATAGGTAACTTGTTCTTTCATTCTTTTTTTCCTTTCATCTTTATATCTTGAAATCAAGGAGTCTTCACCAAAAGTCTATGGATACATTTCAGGAGGTTCCCAAATGTCCTAGAAGTTGAAGCAAAAAATGTGGTGGTGGGCGGTAGTATAATTATCTTCTTAAAGGTCTGTGATTCCTTGAAAAAACAAACAACAAATAACTTTTACTCTAAAAATACTCTGCTGGAGTGTGGAATAAAATTAAGTTTAGGATCTTCATTCCAAACTTACTTCTTTATATTTGCCAATAATATTCTTCTTTCTCTTCTGCCAAGATATGAACTGGCACATAGAGAGGGAACAGAGCTATATATTCCTTGTGCCTGGACAACGGTTGGTTAGCTTTTTCCACACCCTGTCTGTGGACCTTCCATCCAAAAGCATGAAAGTGTCGTGGTGGAAATGACTGTGACGAGTGATGATCTCAAAATACACTTGCATGCAAGTTATCCTACAGATAGTACATACTAGAGGGAGAGAAAGGTTAACAGGCCAAATAAAGATGCCAAAAGACAGGACTTATTAAATTAATGGAAAACCCAGAGCCAGAAGCAAGTGGAAAGTCCTTTGGTTGGTTAACCCATTTAGGTAGGGTGTAAGAGAAGTGTAAGGGCCTTACTAATGAATTCTCGGTAATAGTCTTATACCGCACCTCGCCCTCTTCCATGCCATCCTTCACCACTGAAGGTGAGTTACAGGGACCAGAGCTGAGGTTGAAGCAAGCTGTGAAATTGCAGGCAGGAATTAATGAAACATGTGTCCCTTCGAGAGACGCAAGAACAAATAATTAAAACACACCGATGAGTGTCCAAGGATAGCTGAATGAAGATCTCAAAAATAGTGAGAGCTTCCTATTTCTCATATATATTTAGTTTATCTTGAAGATATGCTGCTTCATATGTATTTAGCACATCCTAAATATATAGTATTTTCTTGGTCTTTCCATCTCTTTCTAAATTTGTTCACACTCACATGCCCTACTTATTATATCTGTGTTGAAGGTTACTTTGTTGTATTTAACACGAGATGTACTTCATCGATTTCATTTGTTTTCCTCTCGTCTACAGTAAAATTGAATATTCTCAAACAATACAGCAATGCATATTACAGATAATTTTGGTCCTTGAATATGAGCTCTAAATTAGAAAATGCAGGTTTTTCTTATTCGCTTGCAGGCTGAGGAATGGGCATTTCTGATTTTGGCTAACCTAGAGTTTAATCTTGTAGGGATCCCAATCACAGTTACAGTATATTGTTATATGTAACTCTATATCTTCTGATCTTCACCCAAGATGCACCAGTAGTTGGTAGATATTAGGTATGTTTGCAGACAGTAGCTAGGTGATTCCTAAGGATAAAATGTGGGAAGAAGAGTATGAGGTCCTAGGAAGAACTACGTGGTCCGTGCCCTCCACCCCAAGTCTCCCAAGGGTGGCTTTCTCAAGTCTCCTTGCATGAACAGAATGCTTCATTCTGTTTTTATCACCAGAAACAACGTCTTTGAGGAATTCTGTAGCAAACTAGCAATATATCCTTTTAAGTACTGATACCGCTCCCTGCGCCCAGCCCCACCCCATCTCTGGAGGAGTGAAGAAAAATGCAATGGTCCTACTTGGTTGATTTTATTTTCATTTTTTATTGAAAGCTTCATCAAAGAAAACAGAAGTTTAAACCTAACATCCACTGATCTACAGAAAGCCCAAGGGATGGGGAAATGGTAGCTAATTTGACTGTGGTACAGATGAAAAAAAAAAAATTAAACCAGAAACACTGTAGGAGTACAGAACTTTCCGTGACAGTCAGAGACAGCGATACAAAATGCTCTTAAATAAAATTCAAAATTGATTGATATTTTAGAAGTTCCATGATGTCCAATATGGTCAGAAACAAGGGTTTTAAAAGAAGCTATGTCCCATTGTTTTAGAAACTGAGTATATCATAGCAAGTATAATTTTATATATAATTTAAATTAAGATTCCAATTATATTGTCTTTTTTTAAGTGGAAGCATTAATTTCAAAATGGAGAAGACATTTTCAAATGTCTTTTGAAAATATTTTTTATGGTTCCTGAAAAGTATGTAATAACTCCTTTTATATATATGAGGAAGTAACATTTTGGGGTGGAGGACAGAGCATCTTTCTTAATAATCTAAGACCAGAGTGTCTAAAATACAAAGTATAACGCTAAAGTTACACTTTAGACATTTGAATTGAAATGATCATAAAAACGTCCACTGGAGTGTCAAGGTCATTTAGCCTTATTACAGTAATGAAAAAAATGACAAAAAAAACAACACATTTTGGGGGTGTCAAAGATTTAAGAAAGGAATGAAAGTATATATTTAACCAAGAGCTGCTATTATAGTCTCATAACTCAATTTTGAATTGACCTTTTCTACTGGTTCAAATTTCAGTAGTGAATGAAACCAAAACAACTTTCTTTTGAGGGAGGTCAAATTCTTTGCTACTGTTTATTTTTCTTTATATTCTGCAAGAAAACAGCCAACTCTCAATTATTCATGGTAGATGGGAATGGGATATTACGTGTCACAAAAATCCATAGCATATAATGCACCAACACTAATTTTACCGATGATTTTGAAGTCTTTGAATAAATCTATGCCTAATAAGAAACAAAATAGACTGATTTGAATTTTATTTCCAATTGTTTCTTTTACTACCCTTAGGGTAAAATGACAATAAAAGGAAAGAGAGCCCGAGGTCTAATAGTTGAAAAGACAAAACAAATTGACAAAGTAGATAATTAGCCCTTCAAAAATTGAGAGTGATTGTATTTCTGCAAGAATCGCTAATTGGAGCAGTTACTAATTGGAATGACTAAAACAGAAGAAAAGTGTGACTCAGTGGTCTAGTGGTTTATTCTGCACACTCCAAGCTCTATCTTACGTTTACTTCAGTTTTACAATTGAGTGGAAGAAGCTTTTCATGACACGTTATTTTGCCACTGAGAAATACAAATAGATGAATATTGGGAAGCCGGCCACCTTTTCCTGTCTTTTTGGTGGTGGTGAGCATATGTGTTGGTGTATAAAACCAAAGATAAAAAGAAATCACGAAACTGGGGTGACCTCCCTTGCCCTATCTTCTAAAAGTTCTTTGTGGCTACTCAGGGATTTTGTATATTGCGTTTATACTGCCCTCAACTCTATTTAATCCAACAAGGACAGCCAAGACCAACAGCACTTGGAGTAAGGGGACAATTTCATGTTTAAGAACATCAGTTAAGAAATGCTTAATGTTAATTTGATTCAACTGTCTTCCAGTGCCATAGTGGATATCATTTGTAAACTGAATTGATTCATTAATGAACCCCATTATCGCTCTGCCACAGGAAGGGTGTAGTGTAAGGAATCAATGAACTTATTTAAATTCCATCAATCCCTCAGATTGGAGTGAGAGGCTGTCTGTCCCAGTGAGCTCAAAATTTTGAAGCATGCCAGCAAAATAACATGAAAAACAAAATCATCCTTTACTCCCTACTGCAGACAACTTAACAGATCAAAGCTCTATGACATGTTTAAACTTTATAATGAAGTATGGTTCCTTAAGTGTGCTGAGTGTTGTTATCCACATTCGCAAATATTATCCTTTCACTTGATTTTCTATTTTCATATGAAAACATTTATCACTAAAACCCATTCAGGAATTTCTCTCTGCTTGTCAGTTCATCTGTAGCAGTTTGCACACTCAAATTAAGAATGAGACTGAATCATCTGTATTTTTAGCCTCCTGCTAATATTATAATCTGTCTAGACAACCCATTGAAATTTCTCTTCAATCATGAAGACGGCAAAGGTCTTATTTAAATCAAGTCTCACTTTTCATTCATGGGGATTTCAAGGCCACTGCAAGAGATACATGGGTATATAATAGACATCCTAGTTATTCAAATAGTTTTTTTTTGGGGGGGGGCAGAAATCTACTTTCTCTTGTCATACATCAATCGAAATGGTTTTAAAGCAGTTTTGCAAAGAGTTGATGTATTCTGTAGCTACAGCAAACTTCTTGCTCCGCCCAGTCTTCTGCTCTCAGTCTTCCATCTCTGATATGAGTGCTTTTAACACCATGCAGCTTTTCATTAGAAAGCAGTGAAAGTGTGTTTTATCTGCTTTATGCAGCCAATCTGTCAAGGTCACAGAAGGAACTGATTCAGTGAAGCATGGAGACAACATTTGAATGATTGAAATCTATCGAGGAAATAAATATGTCTGGCCAAACTGGAGTCAAGTCGAGGAATTCTTTTTAGAATAGCATCTCACTTGCAATATTCGAGACATGCCAGTGTTTAAAGACAACAGTGACCGATACCTGTGAATGTCACCTTTAGTTCCCTTGGGTTCCATGATGTCTTCAGAAGACATAGCCAAACATGAGGAGCTCCCAGCCACTAGGCATACTTTGCCTCCCAGACAACACTTTACCAAACTGAAAAGGACACCACTCCTCTACTGACCATTTAATTAGACTTTAGATAAAATAAAGTGTATCCCATTTGGATTATTGTTTTAGGATGTTTCTTGAGGTTGAAGCTAAGTGTTGGCAACTAAAGTAGGTCAAAAGGAAATATTGAAACATCTGAATAAATAACAATTTGGTAAGCCAGAAATCTTTAAAAAAATGATTATAATCCTAAGTAGGATTAAAATCACCATCATATATACTGCTGATTAGATGAGGATTCTGGTCTCTGCATATATTGAGCACATATTTTGGTTTGTTTTTCAGACAATGTAATGGTGCTAACCTGTTGATCTTCCCTTCTCCCCAATTTATAGTGGACTCTTAAAAGTAATTAGGTAAGATAAGAGATAACAGGGAACAAATTTGATCATGGGACTTTTTTTACCTTTTTTTTTTCTTTTTGGTTTAAAAATAATAAATCTTATAGAATGACATGATATAAAATCTCCAAACACAAAACACACGTGGACACATAAAATGACAGGTAATTTCCTTTTGCCTTAAATGGCTTAAAAAAATTGAGACCGTTGAAATTTCATAGTTGAAAAATGTTTCTGAATGTATAAATAAAGCAGTAGTTTTGAATAGAAACAGAAAGTTACCTAGGCACATTCATCAGCCACATGGTAGCTACCTCTTAGCCTCATCGTTGGTTGCGTAAATGAGACTTTCTTTGTATCACATGATTTTTTTTTTTTTAAACAGAAACAAAAGAAAGCATGTTGGTTTCTTATTCAAATGAATTATGCCTAGGATAATCCTTATTTATACAAAGAGTTCAGAGAGTGGAAAAGAACAGATGAAAACACAGTTCCATATATGTAGACTGATACCCCCTGTAATTCAGGGACCCACTTCTCAAAGATAAAACTTAAGTGCCACCCTTAGAATACATGAGAAGCTGGAACATGAAACCAAAGAAAGTACAAATCTAGGATTCACTCTAAAGCCCCAAAAACCGTAAGCATGGGTGTGACCAGTTGGCATTTCTCTGCAACGCGGGCTACATTTTCTTGCATACGCATTTGCCTCTAATTGGACTGCAAAGATATAGTCACTCTCTAGATTTGAGCTTCCAATCAAGGGGTTACAAGTAAGAGAACTGAGTCTATTTCAACACTAGGCCTTTGTTCATATATCCGATGGAGTGGAATATTGACAACTTCCTATGAGTCAAACTCATTACTCATGTTGACCTAATGGGTATATAATTTGCTTTTTAAATTACTTGAGTTTTAAAAAGTCTACCCTGGTTTCTTTTACAGTGTGCTTAATACATCTCCCTCTCTCTTTTGGGCTAAGACAGGTTCCTATGACTTAGTTTTGTGAAAAGGGCTTCGTCTATTTGATTCTAATGAGTTGTTCAGAAAGCAATTCTAGGGCATGGTTAAATTAAGAGTTCCATTGTTCTTAATTTCAGGTAAAACTGTACAGATTGAACGTGGGTTTCATTAATTAAATGTTTGTTTAGTCAATTTAGTTCATTTTCAACAAAATTTTGCATCATTCTCAATGCAAATATCTCTCCTTTGGCTTTAATGATTGATCAAACCTCATTCTTTTGGTTCTTTTTAATATAAATCATATCATTTTTTGATTGTCCACTAGCATTTTAAAAGCTTACTAAATTCCACTAATAGAACCTTTAATCTTTTTGGTCCTACTTGCCTCAGAGAGTTAAACTGCAGTAAAAAGGTCTATCTTGTCTGTCTTCTGACAACATCAGGATATAGGGGGAAAAAAAAACAAACTGAAAAGAGGCAACAAGAAGAGAGCCCCTCCCCAATTGCAGAGCCAAGGTGACTATTCGTGGGAGACATTGACAAAGACTGAGTGAGAAGACAGAACTAAAACATGTTGGAATTTAGAAGGAAGACTATTGTTACAAATACAATGAGACCTTTTCAGGAGACCACTAACCACTTAACAGAATATCACTAAGTGTTTTTTTGTTTTGTTTTGTTTTTTGACAAGTGACCTTTCAGACCAGGTTCAGAAAGTGTCTTTAGTTCAAAATTCACGTAAAGAAATTTCAACCTGTTAAACAGGAGTCTTAGATTATTGATGGCCATCAACACAGGTTTTACTATACAAGCGAGTTAGCAAGGAACCAGAAAAGCTTGCAGACTTTAAAGCCATTTGGCTCTATCAGTTTGTATCCCAAACTCTTCAGCTAAAACCGCTGAACACAGCAGAGGCAAGCTTTTACTATCAACAAATAAACAAAAAAAAAAAAAAAAAAAAAAAATTTTTTTTTTTTTTTTTTTTTTTGCAGTGTGTAAAACACCAGTGGAAGGTAGTTTAAACAAATGACAACATAAGAGCTGGTCCGGCCATGTAGGTCAAATAAAATTTTCAAAAGAACAAAAAAAAGAAAAGAAAACAACCATTATCTTCTGGACTGCGATAGGGTGCCACTTCATCTTTGGTATAAAATAGGCCATCCATAGGCTGAATTTGATCACAACTAAGAAAGACTACAGAAATTGTCAACAATTTCTCTATCTATTGCTTTTTTTGTTTTTTTTTTTTTTTGCACTTTTTGACCATAAGCTCCTATCTACTTAAGTTTTTTTAATGCTCTTAAGCTAGGTTTTGCAATGTGACAAGCAAAGCTGACTAAAAACTTTGTAAAGCTCATAAAAAAGACTGCAGATAAAAAGCACTAATGCTTTTGCTAGCGATCACGCTTTGTAAATAAAAAAAATCTGCATTCTGCCCCCCAAACACGCATTATTTCTAATGCAGTTGTTTTTAAACCAACATTAATAACTTTACCGTAAAATGTTTTAGCCTTCTAGAATGATTCAACACTTAAGACAAAGTTCATGAAAAGTCCCAGCATTTTCCCAATTCTTGCAGTTGCCATGGTTTCTTTTATCAACAAATTTTCTTCAAATGAAGAAAAACATTTTCTTTAAACTGTACAGTTTTTTTTCACCCTAAAAACTCATAGTCTTAAACTTCTGTGCCAGTTAAAGCCAGCACAATATTTCAATTCTTTCTTGTTTTTTTTTTTTTTTTTAACAAGACGTTGACAGCTTGCCTTGAGAGCCTTTGACGTCCTTAAAATTAAGGCAATTAAGATTCAAGATAAAACTTACCTAAATATTTCTAAGAAAAAAAAAAAAACCCAACCCACTAGATTTTAACAAGAAGGGAAAAAGAAATGTAGCTTAATTTCTTAGGAGGACAATTTGTTTCCATTTTTGATCGCCCACCTCTTGACATCAGATTTTCTGTTAAAAAAAAAAATCTATCTACACCTTCTGGTAAATTCTGAATTCAAATGTTCTTCCAGATAAAATGTCAACCTTCCATGTTTTGTTTTGTTGTTTTTTTCCCTCTTCTGGGATTTTTTTCTTTAATTAAAAAAATGAGAAAAATAAACTGTCAGACCACATGAAGGAACCATTTGCACAGCACATAAAAACACTTTGTTTTCATTAGGTAAAGTAGAAAATTAAAAAAAAAAAAAAACGCATTCCATTGACGCCTGTGCAAACTGGAAGCCAACTTCTTGTTCAGTGAAGTTTCTTCATTCAAGGCAAAGTTTCAGACAGACATTCTTCAGTCTTGTTTATGGTCTGTGAAAACAATTGAATAAGAGTGGTCATTGTATCAAAGCTCTTGAGATCACCTCACTCAGATCCAGTGAGTTTTCTTTAAAAGATGCCAAATTCTTTTAATATAATGAGGTGATTAAGGAAGTTGTCAAAAAATATTAGGCTCAAGAAGATGTCCAATTCTGCCACTTTCACATAAACGCACATACATTTTCCCATTACATATCAGGGCTAGTAATACATGAAGACTATCTTCCAATTCTAAAGTGATAATCAATCAAGTGATTCTCCTTATGTGCATGGAACCTATTTTTCACTCAAGTTGAAAATGCACCTCTCTCCCTATCCCAAATTCCTTGAGCAATTCTGTCCCTTGAGAATTCCCATGGATTTATTACTACTTCAGTCAAGAAATATGTGCATCCCAGGCAATGGATTGCCTGTTGTCTTTGGTATTGTCAAAATATAGCCACATAAGCCCTGATGCGGGCCACTTAAGAGGGTAATTGAGTTTTGTTCACTTCCTCTTCTCCTATTCTTCCTTGCACATTCATCTCATCAAGGTTTTAATTTCTAGAGAGCAGGGATTGCATTTTACTTTACCATTGTTTAGAGGGGTTACTTTTATTAATTTGCAAAAGCCCTCACGTAAATTAGGCATGGTTTTTAGAAACTTGATTCACTTCTTCCTAGAATCATGAAAAGAAAAGGACTAGTGGATAGACTGATCATTTCCAAATTCTAATCAATAGTTTAAGTCTCTCAAAATACTTTTTTTTCCTGTGTTAGATAAGAAAGTGGAATTTATTTTAAGAAAAAAATGCAATTCAAAATTTATATAAAAAGATTAAGATTTTTAGCAGTCATCATGGAAACTTGGGCATATATTTGATCTCTCTATCCCTTTGCAGAATGTATACTTATTCCATTTACTTCTAAAACTCTATCTTGCTTTGGGAACAGAACATTTTATTTCTTGCTTTTCTGTTTTTGTTTGTGTTTTGGTCTATTCTTTACTACAACTTCAATCTGCCATCCTGGTAGTTTTGTGCACTTTGCAGAAAATGTCTAAAGGACCATGAATCTATGCAAGAGCTGCTCCCTGAGCAGTACCTAATGCCTAAGAACTACACTTGTTACAGAGGCATTTTCATTAAAAGAAGGGGTACCACATTCCCCACCCCACGTAACTCTGGGTAGAGCTGAACAGTCAGATAAGTTATAGAACATGGAAAAAGAACTCTTGTTCTTATGGCCCAACTTGAATCCTGGTGCTTCAGGGAAGGAGACAGGTGAAGGAGAGACAAGTAGAGACAATTGGAAGAGACATGGAGGAGACTGACAATAGCAACCATTATCTTGATGTGGTATCTCCTTTTGTCCGGGCTTTCTGCGACCTGCTTTAGAATCCCTGTTCCATTGTTTCCTGCCAAAAGATGCCTTTAACCTGTGTCAGGTTTTTAGGTCTCAGAAGCACCACATAAGTCAATGTGTTTGTTTGACTGTGCATCTACTCCCAGAAGGTGGTAATTTGGGGTGTTTTATTGGGAAAAATATCCATTCTTTTCTCTATGGCCACTAATTCTATTAAAGTTCTTTCACACTGAGAGTCTTTGTGTGCCCAGATAGCCAGACCCCTTTACAGAATACAAATTTTGGTGGTATCGGGATACCCCTTGGTTGTACGCTAACACCTTCACTCTCCAGGAATGTCATGTGTTCTGGTTCTTACACATCTGGTTCTTATGACACTGAGAGACTTTTGAGTTTTATAATCTTACACTTAGGTTTCCCATAGCCCTCTCCCACTTCTAGCTTCATCCTTCAAGAGGTCTCATTACTATATGAAAACACGTGGGAAAAACAAATGGCCTTACTTTTCATTTCCATGGTTGCTAGCTGAAGTTTGAAGGTAAAAGGTGTTGCTGCTGTTATAGGGCAGCCCCGATATTGAACGGGTTGCCTGGTTGTGGGTCCTCAGCCGCGCTTACAAGGGACTTATTAATACTCCACTACAGGCATACACAAAAGGTTAATAAAAGGTTTATTTACAAGGGAAAAGGAAATAAGGAAAATGTACAACTCAGGGAAAAAATAGGGAAATAAAGTCTTTAATGCGTCCTACCCGATCCGCCGACCTGGAAACCCAAAGGCACTCTCAGAGTTGGCCAGATGCTGCGAGCTGGTGGAGAGCCAAAATGGGGGAACCCCTCCAAAGCCCACGTGTCTGGCTTTATACCCACCTGGCTGCTTAACCCCACCCTCAGGTCCCAGCCACCTTCCCTTCGGTGGGGATGGGATTTGGAGTTCCCAGTGTCTTTGGCTTTGGCCTGGGCTGGGGGTGGAGTCCACAAAGCCTGTATGGAATTAGCTTTAGGACATCCTTTTCCCCCTAACAATTCCCCCCTTTCAAGGAGCTGAATTCACTCCTGTCACCTTCTCTGTCCCAGGTAAAGAGTGAAAGCTCATGTTTGCAAAATGCCTATGGATTTTGCTGATACCCATAAAAATACAAGACTTCTAAATTTTTAAGGCCAGGATTCTTAGCAAGAAGAATGTTTTAAGTTGAACAATGAGACAATTTGTAAATAAAATGGGTTTTAACTTAAAAATGGGAATTTACGTGAATGGAAGAATGAGTATGAAAACGATTTATCTGCACACTGTAAAGGGCTGTGCAAACAGAAGTTACCAGCATTCACAAGCTTAGTGACATATAAAGATGGTCATCAAGGGCACTGACTTGCACATAATTAACATGCTGACAGAAAACAGGGAGTTGGTGTTCCTGACAGTTTAGTTACTTAAATTTTGAAGAGAAGGTTTGGAGACATTGGGATTACGATACGGCCTTCTTCTAAGATCACTGTGAATATTGGAAGAGGAATTGTTTAAGAACATAGAGCCATTTTGAACCTCCTCATTCTCCATCTCCCTCCTTCTCCCTTGCCACCTTCCCATCCGCCTCCTGAAAAAAAAAAATTAAAAATAAAGCAGAGTGAGTAGTTTGGGAAGTACCCATGCATAATCTCAGCAGTCTAAGGAAGAAAGAAAAATGGAAGGAAGTATTTATCTGGACCTCTAGGAGGGCATGGTTGTTAGCATTTTAATGGCTTTGGAGAGAAGGGCAATTAAGAAAGCATTTCATTTTATGTTAAAGCAGTTAAGGGTGTGTGTGTGTGTGTGTGTGTGTGTGTGTGTGTGCTTTGCGGGGGCGGGGTGGGAGGTGGGGGTTTGGGGAGATGGGGTGTAAATTCTCTCTCAGACCTAGAGATCCAATCTGTGTCTCTGGAGCACTCTGATCTACCTCTGATTTTACAGAAGAAGAATAAACGGAGGGCCCATCCTTGAGTGACACCTACTAAGTGGTAGTGTTATAGGACAGGGAGAGGGGTCCCCCTTTCCTGGGGACCACCCTGTTACAGTAGTAATGGAATCTGAACCAAGGACTTTTGAAGTTAAACTCTGCTTGAACACTCACACTTTTTCAAATCGTTGTTGCTTTTAAGATTTCTAATAGCACAAAGAAAACTGAAATAACTTAGTGTGGAACTGAATTTGAACACAACTTCCCAAATAAACCACATTTCTACCCTTTGGGGTAAGAGTCCAAAGTCCCTTTAGTATTTGTGGTCTCTGTTGACCATAGGGGTCAAAAGCAAACAAATGTGAAGATTTGTTTTAGTTTAGTTTAGAAAGTGGAATTTGGAATATTGAAATATTTGCTGGCATAGACCTGGAATGTAACCCTTTGATTCAGAGGTACATCACTTAAGTTTCTCAAACTTTTCTCCTACAACTTTGTTTTGGTGATGTCTGTGATTTAAATTAAGATATTTTTCATATAGATATAGAGATTATGGTGTTAAGTGTATGTGGAGTGGGTTAAGCTAATTTTCAGGGGGATTCAGTTACCCTAATCAGAATTTCACATCCCACAGGAGGTCAGAGATCATTTAATGAGAAAGGCCAGTGGTTTGTAAAAGTACTTGAAATTATCCATATCTCAATTAGCATAATGATTGCTAGAAATGGCTGCCTGATGAAAGTAGTGGCATGTTCATTAGCACAATGATGCTGAAATTGTGTGGTCATTTGTGAAATTCAGAGTATTCAACAAGATAACATACACTGACTAAAACGGTTTAGCAACACTCTCCATTCTGCAGGAGAGATAGTAAGAAAGCAGGGAACCTTTTATTTTATAGCTTGAGGGCTATTGCTTGAGGAGCTATCTCAAAAACAGACTTTCATAGAGTAGATTTCTGGGTTCTGTAAAAGTAACATAGCCCTACATCTTGGAAAATTTTAAATCTAACCTGAGTGAGTTTTTTTAAGTAAAATGCATTAAGATTACTTAAAAGAACAGATCTGGAGTTTTATCAAATGTATAGAGCAAGCTGTACAAATTGTTTTCCACCTGTTCTAGTGAATGCTTTTTTTTTTTTTTTAAACAGCTGTGGGGGTTGCTCTGGCATCTCTCAAACTTTTCCTAGTGACAAGACCCAAACAATTAGTGTTCATTTCCCAGTGACTTCGTTGAATGGTTCTGAAAAAATCTCATGCCTTTCCACGACACAGGTCAGCTTCTTCCCGCTGAAACTGGTAACAGCTTGGGTAGAGTCACATTATTTTCTTCATTTAATAAAATTGCAAAAGTGTCTGCCATCCAACAACTTATTTAACTTAGGATAGTGCTTTTGTTTTCATTCAATATTTTATGGTTGATGTTTCCAGTCAAAACTCCTAATACTTGGTAGCATGTCAAAGAGAGGAAGCTGACAATATAAACAGGATCTGTTGAAAATTTTCTCCAGGTTTAAAGAAATGTCCACAAATCAATGCAAGTGGTTTTCCATGTCACAATATGACATGTCCTCTGTTCCGGGTACTTCCACCCCTGGCATGTTGCAACATTGAGCCTGCCCTGTGGAATGTCCTGTATCAATCACATATTCCTGCATGAGTGACAAAGAAAATTCCTACAAACCAGGAAGTTTTACCATAATTTCTATCTCTGTGATGGGATGGAGGATTTTATTCCTTGATTATTATTATCTTCAGAAAGCTCAGCATTCCGAGCCAGACGAGTCCATTTAAGGTATATAAGCCTGATGCGATAATAGCTTTTAAAATACAAACACTTATTGGGCCTCCCCTGGTGGCGCAGGCAGTTGAGTGCAGCGCTGTGAAGCTGTCCACAGCCTCTGCAGCGCTGGTTCGATCCCGGCCGGCGAGGGTCCCACATGGCACCGCAGACCTCGCCTGTTGTGCCCGCTGCTCCCCTCAGCAGTGTATTTCGTCAGTCTGCCTGTTCTGTTCCCCACTCTGTCTCTGGTGACTCTTCTCACCCTCCCGCACATCTGGTCTGTACCCCAGTTCTTGTATAAATAAATAAATGAATCTTAAAAAAAATACAAATACTTAAAGGTTTTTGTGGGTAGATTCAGACTTTCTCAGCTATTTCAGACTATAGCTCCTTGGAATTGACTCTGTAAGAATAATTAAATTCCTTGTCTTTCCTCACAAATCATGCCCTGATGGGCTTTTAGTTCATCCCCCCTCTGCTAGTGGCATTAATGACTCCATCACTTTGCTTCAAAATTTAAAGTCCTGTTTCGGGCCTCCCCGGTGGCGCAGCGGTTGAGCGCTGGGTTGCGAAGCTGCGCGCGGCCTCTGCGGCGCCGGTTCGATCCCCGGCTGCTCCCCGGCCACCAGAGGAGGGTCCCACATGGCGCGCAGACCTCTCCTGCCGCCCGCTGCTCCCCTCAGCAGTGTACTTCGGTCCTTCTGCCTGCTCTGCTCCCCGCTCTGGCTCTGGTGAATTCTCTCGCCCTCCCGCGCTTCTGACTGTACCCAGTGCATGTATAAACAAAACAAACAAACAAAACCAGCAAAACAAATAAATAAAAAGCATGCCTCTATAAAAAAAAAAAAAAAAAAAAAAAATAAAGTCCTGTTTCCCTTTTTCTTAAACTTCAGTCTACTGCCACCACCACACAGCTGCCCCACTCTTACTTCCTCTTGTCTGAACCATTGTAACAGTCGAACTGTTTCATTGCTTCCAAATCCAATATCCACTTCATCTGGAAGAACAAAGGAAATACTAACCAAGTAGATCAGGGGTCACTGATTATTAGAATCTGGATCCAATTTTTTTCCCCCACACTTTTCTATTACCCTGCATCATTTCTCAAAGAGACTCTCTGTGCTTCCCAGCCCCTGGTCTTTGGTCAGGCTATTACTCCACCTGGAACATTGTTCTATCCTGTAAGACACAGTTCCTGTTACCATACCGGTAGCAGAGCTTACCCAGCGCCCCCCGCCCCCCAAAAAAAATTAAATCTGCTCCCTTTATAGTACTTTTAAAAAGAGCCTTGTTTATTTTCTTCTTTGCAGAATACAAAACTTGTACAGGTGTAGAACTAACACCTATATTTGATAATAAACCTCTAAGGGCAGGGGTTCTGTCTCCTGGCATAGAAATTGGCATGACACTGGGCACTATAAGTGAAACTGGGTCTAGGTATGGAGGTAGACAGGGAGATGCCTACTGGAACCCAGGAAGGGAAGAAATGCTCTCTCTGCATCTAAATCTTTCCAAAATTAGTTTCTGGTTATTTTTCATACCCAGGCAGAGCACACCCTCCTCACCACATCTTGCAATGATCATGGGGAGGCAGAAAAACTCTGAGACAGTAGACAACATCTCACTGTGGGCTGACAATTGGAGGCAGTTAAAGCTGACTGAAATAGCATGGGAGAGGTGGCTCTGCACAGCATTAAGAAGGGGGATTTAGTATCTTGAAAGTCATCCTTGAAATAAATCCCTATATACCCAGCTTCCATTGGGAGTTGAGTCATTGAAATGTAAATAAAATCCTGTCATTCTTTCTCTTAAAGCCCTCCAAGGGTTTTCTCTCTCACATAAAATAATACTGAGGATACTTATGCTAGACAAAAGCAAGTAGAGGACTAGACTCTGTTAAAGGTAACTATTTAACTTCATCTCCTACACATGTGCCCCTTCATCCTCTGCACTCCAATCTAAGATTCACCTTTAGGCCCTTCCTTCTTCCTTAGCCTAGAATGTTTTTTTCTCTAAATCTCTCCAAAATTAGTTTCTGGTTATCTTTCATACCCAGGTCTATGTGAGGGTTCTTCCCTCATACGAAATCATAGGCATTTACCCAGTCACTTTTTATCACAACTATCTTTTTAAATAATCTATTTTGCAATTCCCTTTCTTTGACTGTATGCTGATAGATCCATCACTCCTGAGCTACTGGTAGAAAGTCAACTTTAGGAGCCTCTTTCACTGGTCTTTCCTTATCATCTACAATACAGCCTGTCGCATGTAGGCACTTAATCAACAATTGTCAATTAGATGGATGAAAACATCTTTTTAACTTCTGTGGATTTCATTAAACTGTTAGCCAGAAGGATCTAGGACCATTCATTTCTTCATTATATTTGAAACAGCCAAAAGCCAGTTTTACCTCTTGAAAAGTATTTCTGAAAACCATACTATCTCTCATCTGCCACTGTATTTCCATGAGCCAGTTTCTGCTCCTTTTTCATATGCAACCTAATACACAGACTGAACACAATTCTAATGTTTGAAACAGTGACAGGGACTACAATATTGGTGTGTGTGATTCACACAGGCAGTAGGCAAATTAAGGAAAAAGAAAGAATTATCCTAAAACATTGTTTGATTCATGATTCACTACTGACCGTTCCTCAAAGTTATTATATGATAGCAATAATGACAATTAAAATACTTTTTACTTGTTAGCTTAACTCATGTTTTGACTAATTTTAGAATTTAATTTGCAGGATTGACATTAGAATCTAAGTCACATAGAGAAGATTCCATTATCTTGATTATTCTTTTAGCAACAAACATACCTTTAATCTCAACATTCATATTTGAGGTTGAAGAAGAATGATGATAAAAAGAACAATAATCTGCACTTAGGAAGGATCATGTGGGAATTCTCTAAGGCTTTGATTGTTGTATACAAAGTATGATACTTTGCATGATAAGTCAACTGCATATAGACTGCATTTTTTTTAATCCCTTAGGTTTCAATCAAGACCTTTCAAATTTTATTGTACATAGTTACACAACACAAAGCCTTTGGTTATAAGTGAGTCAAGGATTTTTAAGAGTAAATCTGACTCCCTGATTTTTGCTTTGCCATTTAATTTCTGAATAAGATTTTCTTCTTTGTTGTTCTAATATAATACCATTTTCCATGAACTATTTCATTGGGTGTTCAAAGCAACCTTGCAAGGGGAGATGCTGTGTTACTGTCTTCATCTAAGAAAGGGAATACTGAGACCAAAATATGGCTTATTAGCCAGTTTGAATGTGAATATTGGAATTTTCCCAAAAATATGTGTGGTAGATTTTTAAAATAAAAATGGCTGCCATGCCCCTCTATGTAACCATGCCTTTTGGCAGCTAACATTTACATAAATTCTGGGCTTGCTATGTGGCTTGACTTGGCTATATAGGGCAGTAGTTAATGAATCATGGACAAAATTGGAAAATCCTGGTCATTGGGCTTTTTTCCTTGCTGTTCTTCAAATTATGAGACTTTTGTGTGAATAAGCCTTCTGGAAGATCCAAAACACTTGGATCGATTGCTTCTATCAATCAGCAGCTATACAGCATCCAGAATCTGGGTGCAAACATGACCAGCAGCTGTCTTCAGTTGCTTGAACAAGTCCAGTCAAGACCAGAAGAACCATTCATCAAATGTCAGTTCTGATTACCAAGGTACATACTCATGAACTAAATAAATACACTAATTTTGAGATGGTCTGTATTGCAGCAAAAGCTAATAGATACAACATGAGGGGTTGATGCCCAGGCGGCTGTTCTTGAGGGAAAGAGCTTAGTATAGTCGAACTTACTTAGACTGTTGGTAAGAATATGCAGGTGCATGTTCATTGGATGTGTCCACTGTTATCTGTTGCTGCTGACCACTGGTGTCCTGGGATGAAGGTGCCACTGTCTGGGGAGAGGTATCAGCAACAACGCCCTAAGGAAGCAAATAAGAACACAAAGCCTTATTGGCTTCAGCGAAAGGTCCTCTTCCAGGTGGACCGCAGAGAAAGCCCCTCTTGTATCTGGCTTGAGTAAACTTACTCTTGGCTACACAAAGCTTCAATAGAGGAAAATCTCAGAGCACATTTTGAATCAGGGCTGACAAATTCAACTTAATGTGCCACCAAGAACTAACTACATTATCATCAGATGTCCTTGGAATAGTCAAATGATCAGAAAATTATTTTGCTCATACTTTGAATTTTTAAATTGTGGTTGTAACAGACAAATAATAGTAATAAAATAACAAAATTCATACGGGATTCCTACAGAAACTTGCACAGTCAAACATTTTCCTGGAGTAGTAGAAGCTATCTGTGGAGTGATATGACAAATAATGGGCTCTGACCTTAAAAAAAAAAAAAAAACTAAGCAAATTTTGGGATTCCCATTAGCAATTTGATTTCTATTATTTTGTTTTGATTTCCACAACATGAATTGCAGTTTAATTCATTTGGAGGTTTCAGTGAAAGAAACTTCTGCTCCTTCCTCAGCCTTTCACTCTCTTGTGCTAACAGGAGACAAGAAGATACATTTCTGGAGCTGGTTACTATTAGGGACATTTGTGGGATTTTTAGAGCAGTATGGTTGACTTTACTTGGTAGTTAGTAGGTCTAAAGATGGCATCTGTCAGAAAACATTCTTTTGATTTTCTTTATAGCCTTGGGTACTTGCAACAATGTCTGCTGTCAGAAGCTCTTGGTGAGCTCTGTCTCAAAGTAAAGCTCCCTAACATTTTCCCGGGGACCTCAAAATATTATAATTCAATTTTCTCCCTAAATTATTATTGACTATTATCCATTTTTCTGCACCCTTTACCAGCATTTATTGGTGTGGATACTGGTGAATTTTCAAGAATGTTTTTACATGGGAAATGAATCAGTGACTTTCCTTATAAGCACAAATTCAAGGCAATACATCAGAGTATAAATTTTTTTTATGAAAGACTTCTTTTGAAATTCCAGTTTTCACTGCAATTAGAACATTTCCAATAAGAAAGACTGAAACATTTCTCATTATTTTATAGTCTTCAAAAAGCTCAGATTCCGTAAGTCAGTCTGCCTGTTCTGTTCCCCACATGTATAAGCTTATACATTTGGCGTAGACATAGAGAACTGTAGCTGTATGACAGAGATGGAGGCTTAAAGGACCAAGAATTACCATATTCATGATTTTCTTTTTGATAGCTAAATACAGCATAGAACATGTAATTTAAACACATACTCTTGAACTTCTGCAAAGTCAATTAAAATATGTTTAATATTGACATCTCCTTTGGGATCACTTGCCTGGAAAACATGAAGAGTTTAGAAATAGCACATTCCTGGTTTCCTAAACCAAATAATAGATAATAATAATTTCCTAAACCTAATAACAATAATAGGTTTCCTAAACCAAATTGTAAATTTCTGTGCTTCCCAAAACTTGGTACTAGCAAACATTTGTCATAAACCAAAACAAGATAAAAAGAGGGCCTCCCTGGTGGCGCAAGGGGTAAAGACACAACCTATGAAGTTGTCTGCAGCCACTGCAGCACGAGTTCAATCCCCAACCAGGGAGGTGCCCACATGGCACAGCAGACCTCTCCTGCCTCTCCCGCTGCTCCCCTCTGCAGTGTATTTCAGTCAGTCTGCCTGTTCTGTTCTCCACTCTGTCTCTGGTGAATCCTCTCAGCCCCCATGCCTCTGGCCTGTACCCCAGCTCTTGTATGCATAAATAAATAAATCTTAAAAAAAAAAAGATAAAAATAAGCAAACCGGTATCTAGAAGCAGACATGTCGAAGAGTTATATCACCAACCGCATAGCTCTATGCCCTTTGCTTTTCTATGTAGCTGGCTGATTTGGCCAGTAAAATCATGTGTAATGGGATAGACTGCACTCAATGGAAAGAGAGAAGGAAGGGGACAGAGTTTCCATTAACAACGAGTTGACTTCATCATTCCCAGTGTCCACTGTGATGTGTACTATAACCTTTGTTCTTGTCTGCAGAATGCCACAAACCTGTTGAGGTTCATCCACTAGAGCAGTGGGTCTTAATCTTTATATTAGAATCACCTGTTATTTTTATAAAAACCCTGCTGTCCAGTCCATATCTCAGACTGAATCAGAATCTCTGGAGACAGGACACAGGCATCACTAATTGTTAAGCTTTTGAAATAAATTCAATGTTCAGAAAAGTTCTAGAGCCAATCCAACACCTCTTAAAATTTATTGTGCTCCTAGATTCCTAAGGGGTCTTGTGAAAATGCAAATGTGGATTCAGTCTGGGTGATGTCTGAGAGTTTCCATTTCAAGAATGGAAACACGGATGTGGATGATGCTGGCCCAGAACCGCTCTTTGAGTACCAGGCACTAGAGAATGAGCTCATTCAAATGCTTGCAAAATACATCCCCCACTACTGCCATTCATGAGTATTTATGGTTAACATTTAATGGGTAATAACTCAGTCTCTGATCATTTCTCTAAATGTGAAAATGACACTCCTCTCATGCCTTTATAGCAAATTAGTTCATTTCATGTCCAAAGCAAAAATAGGCTTGTTCATGTAAAAGTATATACTTTCATATAGTCTATATGAACTGCTAAGTTCAAATGTGAGAGCACACAAATCACATATAAACATCTCTTGGGTTATGGCGAGGGGGCACAGCATGTGACCAGGATTTATTTCCCCTAGCATCTTTCTATAAGGCAGAGACAGACTTACTTCAATAGAAACAGCTGTCGGAGGCACAGGCGTGTACTGGGGAATGTAGGTCCCTTGCATAGGAGCGGCAGCAGTCATATACTAGAGGGAATCAAAGAAAAATGCAGGTGAACTTGGGATTGCAACCAGTGAGAAAGTAGCTAGCACATGACACTGCTGTGACCCATTCCAGCACACCATTAAAGTTAATTTCTATTTTCACCACAATCAGCATGGAATGACCTTTCCTTAACATGTCAATGCCAAGGGCAGTCCACCTCCACAGTATCAACGCAGCAGCAGCTTCACTCCCACTTACTTTGCCTTTTCAAGCATTCTAGATCATATCGCAAACATTTTACTTTCATAACTAAAACACAAACTCCTATGTAAGGGCAATGATGATGTCTGCTTTTATTTTTCCCTCCATTTTATTGCTAATACTGATCACATAGTAGGCTCTCAACAAATTGTTGAATGAATGAATCATCATTTTGTTAGGAATAATTTCTTTTCTAACTTAAAATCAGAAAAAGAATGCAAGATACACTTATACAGCAACATGCAGGATTGGCAAATGTCATCTTTTATCACTTTCATATGTGAAAGAGTATTGCGGATTATGTTGAAGTCTGTTTTGATTCCCTCCCCCAATTCCATTCCCATGTCACTGTCAGCATTTTCATCAGCTCCTTCAATTCTCCAAATTTTCGTCATCTGGACGAACAATGAAATAGTCAACTCATTTTTCACTAAGTTGTAGTATTCGGTAAAATTTGTATTGGGGATAATAGGGTTTTTTGCACTGCAAGAAGAGTGCCTCCCTCCCCAAATTACTTGCTCATCTACATAAGCACATTTATGATTCATATTCTTATTTCTCATATACACTGCCCTTGCAAATCCAAAGTTCTGCTCTTTGAGAATGGAATTTTCAAAGAAATCAACTACATGTCTGAATTTCTAAACTTGACCAACATCATAGAACTTCAGAATCAGCTAATGAAGAGGAAGTTTCTCAATTCATAATGGTTAAAGGAATGATTTCTGTAGAAAATCACAAGCCTCTGATTCTTAATTCTTCTAAATTTGTTGAGTTTAAATATTAAGACCATGCATAAACATGTAAAACCCAAATTTTTATGTTTGCATATCTTGGTAAATTCATATCCAAGAGACATGGTGATTCAGAATCGAAAGAAATATCTGAATGGAGAGGAAAATATTTGAATGAAAGGAAAATATCTAAATGGAGATTATTTCATCATTTGTTCCATATTCATGGAGATTTATACTATGGTAACTTTGAAAAAAATACATTTTAATCCTAATCTGAGCACTGTCCGACAATATCTATTTGCTAAAAATAGAGACAGACCTAATGTAACCACCCTAAATTAAACAGATCATATTGCTAGTTATATTCTATGTGTTATTACAAGTAACCACCAGGCACAATTCATATCCATATACATTAAAAACAACTCATAACTTGGACCAAGAGCAATTGTTTGAAAGTTCCTGTGATATTACTAATTTAGCTTTAAGTTAAAATTTAGGAGCAATTTCTATGCCCTGTCCTCTTTATGCTGGCAGCGTTCATCTCTCTTCTGTTCTATAGTATCATCCCGACTAGCTTCTCCCTAAAGGCATGGGCTAAGCTCAACTCATCTCTGTATCAACCATACAGAACATGATGCATAGCACTCAATAAATCATTGTTCAATGGCTGAATAAAAGTATACAGAAGTACACAAGGTGAAACCTTCTATTTCCAGTTACAAGTCCTACATGCCTTGTTGTCATCAATAATTCTGAACTCAATGTAGACATTAATTTTGTCATCCCCATAATGTGTTTGTATAACCTATAAACACATACTTTAGCAAACTCTACTCATTATTGCTGTGTCCTGAAGGGGACAATAAGTATTCAGGTATCTGCTTGCTAATGGTTTTTCAATAGAAATCTAGAGTCATATTTCAGTAATATTTTATTTCACATCTAGGAAACCTATTTCCCTACAATGGATGCCAGCTTAATTGAAAAAAAAAAAAAGTTTTCTGTGTTTCAATGCATTTGTGCAATGCTGCATGATATATCTTTTTTGATATTGGCATGTGATTAGAAACGCTGAGAAAACATATGTTGCGGAAGCCTATATAAAGGTAGCATTTCTAAATTTGTTTGTGGTGTGTGGGCGTTTGTGTATGTGCAAATGTGCATGCATGCTTGCATGCGTATACATTCTCAGAACTAGAACTCTGAGGAATGCATGCTGGGAAATGTTTCTTTAATTGAATCCCAAAGATAATAGACTTGTAGCAAGCGGGAATATATTTTCACTGACCTTGAATTTATCTAAGCACAGAGTTGAAACTGCTGCGACTCATGCTCTATCTTTTGGTCATGGTTTTCCAAAATTTAATCATAGACTATTAAAAGGATAATGTTTTAATAGTGATTCCAGGGTTAATGATTCCAAACTGTGCAAGTGGGCCTAAGTGGGTGTGTGTGTCCTTTGCATGAGAGAGAAAGTAACTGGCTCCCATCTGGACTTTGATCTCCGTCCTCCACTGTCTGCATCTCTAAGGACACTGGGTGGTTTCTGGGATCTAGATTTAGGGACAAGGTGGGCCCATGCAGAGTGATAGTCCCTGTTTCCATGAGACTCTACCTCATTGTCAGACATCCCTTGCTGAATTAGACTTCATTATGTAATGTAGTTGGTGATCAAGAGTTTTTTTGTGGTTCATTCCTTAGCTAAGCTTCTTCAAATGTCTCCAAGTTATTCAAAACTTCATCTGTGTTTTTGTTCAGTAAAACTGAATCAGTAAATCTTCACACCTCTCATGGCATTCAGGGGTGGTATGGATGTCGCCAAAAGTGGTACAGATTCATGGACTGATCTTCTCTTCCAACAAAACTGTGAGTTAGAGAGAGTAATTCTCCTATTTAGAAACTAATAATTGGAGTAAACTCCAGTTCTTCTGACCCTTGATTCAGCACACTTTTCATTCAACTTCATTATCTTTGAAATTAAATTAGGTCCTTAGAGCTTCCATTTTATCATCCTGATGTAATATAGAGATCAACTTTTTTTTTTATTAAATGACTTTAATAATTGGAGTTTCAATTAAGGAATATAGAAATAATATATCTTTGATTAACATTTTCACTGCCATTTTATTTCCACTTTTTTTTTTTTTTCAAATTTTCACTTTATACTCAGAAAACCTAATTTGCTTCTAAGTGGGCAACTCCCTATGCTAAACTTAACTGTAACTTAATTTTATATGTGGCTTGTCTGAACAGAACCAATAGAGATTTATAGTATACAAGAATAGAGGAGATTAACTCAATTAAAAACAACCCATAACTTGGACCAAGAGCAATTGTCAGTGTGTCTGTGTGTCTACTTTTAATGAAAAACAATTATTTTTGATCATCATAAACAAACATACTAGACAAACCTTGAGTTTGAATAGACAAAGTTTGAAAATTAGATACAGATTCATTTTATCCGAGGCAATGCTATGGAGTTCTATGTCCGGTAAAACTATTATCTCTGGATAAAGTTTTGCAATAAAACTCCTCCACGGTAGACATAGATTTTCTAGAGTAAAGCATCAGTAAGTGACAATCTTGTAAAGTTAGGAGCAAGTACTTACAGGAAATGACTACAGCTATGTGTAAGATCAACTCTCAGCTTTTGGCAATTGGTGACAAATAACTCTGAACTTTCTCTGCAAGCACAGTTTGATTTCCTTAAGAGCACAGATAAACTCCAGTCAGACTTAATAATCCAGGCTGCACAAACTTTGTTTAGATCTTGGAGCCTCAGAGACTGCTTTCGTTTTATCCAGCTAATAAATAACAAAGGGATAAGAAAATGACCTGTGATACAAAAATCCTGTCCTTTTGACTTGATAAATTTCCATGGGCTACTTTTTAAAGCCATAAGAATGGATGCATATCCTTTAGGCTGGTTTTTTTTTTTTGTTTGTTTGTTTGTTTGTTTACTGATGCTTCTCAAATGCTACAAAATATCTGCCATCATTCTTTATGAGTACACATTATTTTATTTTGGGAGGGTTTGATGAAACTGATGGGACTCACATCACAATGAGATGAAATAGATGAAGCAGGTATATCTAGGCAACACTTCCCTGTTGGTAGCAGTTCAAAGGGCTGACACTAGTGGAGAAATTTTAGCTTTTGGTAAATGAACAATTTGTTGATTTTTATATATTCTAAAGTCACCAGATTTTCTCAAGTAAGTACGTAGAGCTGAGTATCCATTTTAAACCCGCAGAATACATTCCAGACTCTATCACTTGTTCCAAGAAGTCTAGACACTGCATCACCAAGATAGTTACCAAAAGACAGGGGAAAAAAAAAAAAAACACATGAAATTGGAGAGGAATTGTGTTTTTGCCTTGTGTTTAAGTTAGGACAAACTGTCTGTTGCTGTGGAATCATTGATTATTTTCAGAGAAACAAAGAAAGAAAACGGTTCGTTCTTACTTCTGGGTTTCCTTTCCTTCCCCCACCTAAGAAAAACAACAGTGCTTTATATATTTCCTGGGAAGAAACTTTTCATTTTAATTATTTGTAGAGTAAAACAGAAGCAAGGAAATATGCACAGATCAGTTTTTAGAATTTTAATTTATGGAATTTTCTAAAATGACGTATCATTTGAAATTATGCTGTTTGTGGGGCAGGTCCATGTAACAAAACTCTTAAAGCTGCTTGACTAACTTCAGCAAGGGTTGTTGTTTCTAGGTCTTCTGAAACCAGGAAAGTCAATGAAAGTTGTAAAAATGCACCTCACAAAGGAAGTTGAGCAGAGAATGCAGCAATTGAGAGAGATGATGCTAACAGCTTGCAGTGTGAATTACTTTCAAGATCACTGAGTACAAATTTTCTTTTAAGAAAAGGAGCTTAAGGATACAGGGAACAGCCTGAGTTATGACGTGTCAGGGTTGGGTGAGTTTGCCTGGGGAAAGGCACAGTGTTACTTGAGGCAGAGACATTCTGGAATTTTGAGGGTCATGTTTCTTGGATTTGTAGAATTCTTTTATTTCAGATTTGGTGAGCAA